TGCCCCGGACCAGAGTTCGCAGGAACTACACCCTGAGCTACTTTGATGAAAATTATTTAAATAAAAAGATATTGTTGCGATTTTATCATATAAATGATTTTTAGATTTATATGGAGACTTAAAAATAGGAGATTTATTCCATAGTATATATCTATTGCAATCAATGCTCCATGTTATGTTAATGTAGCAAAAAAAATCGAAAATATTAGCGTGAAATAATGATTTATTCCATAAATAATTGCTGTTAATCGGAAATAAATAAGAGCGATTTTAGGAAATTATGTATATTTTAAAGAAATACATCTATATTTTAAAGAAAAACGAATATATCTATATTTTAAAGAAAAACAAATATTTGTACGAATTTATGTAGCTTCCAAAAAATTCTCCTTATTGTACCGAAATCCAAAAAATATCATTACCATTTTTATCGGTTATTTCAAAACCAACTGATTTATAGAGTTTTTTAAATATATTTATTTAAAATAACATTGAGGGTGTATAGATATATACGGATATTTGTACCTTTAAATTAATATCAAAAAGAACGTTTGGTAAGCCAATTAATGCTTGTTTGTACGGATATTTGTATAGATATATACAGATATTTGTACCTTTAAATTAATATAAAAAAGAAATTATGTGCAATTAATGCTTTTTTTGTTAAATTACTATTTATAGGCAGTAATTAATGTTTTTGGCGGGAAATAGTTTCTAAAAATTAATTAAGTTAATCCTTATTATATATTAATAGATATTTATATTTATATATATCATGTCCATGTAGGATTTATGGAAGTGTAAAAATAACAGGCTTTTTATTTTTATTTTTATTAATTTTCTTTGAATTTTCATGTGTTGAGATTAGAGCACATATATATATATGCCTATCTCAAGTTGGGCAAATTAAGGACAACATTGTTGTTGTCAAGTTAAATGTTTTTGTACTGTTCTTATATAAGGAACAGTGAGTTTATATATATATATATATATGTACTAATTGTACAATATTTTCAGGTTAGTGGTTAACCTTTCATTTTTTTATTTTTTTTGGTTATTAAATGGGTTTTTTTTTTCTTATTTATTTTTTTGCCTATTTAGTTTATGAAAATATTTTTTTTTTCAAGAAAGTATCTTGCATGACAAATTACTTATTGCTACTTTGAAAAAAGCAAGTCTCATCTTCTTGAGTAGTCGGTTGTATTCGAATCTTTGATTTGTTATGAGATTATCTTTCGTTTGACAAAAAAAAGATGGCTCTTTTTCTCATTTCTTTTAATTTTTGGAATTATGAGGAGATTTTGGGTCAAAATAACTAGGCCATTTTGACCATAATAGGAAAAATTCAGAGCATTAATGTTTTGATGTTAAAATTAAACAAGAATGGATGTAAATATTTAAATGGTGTTTGGTGTTCAAATAAGAATAAAATTGTGTATAGTTCTTCACAAAGTTTATTAAGATTAAAAGAATGAGACTTTTAATTAGTTTTAGATAAGTCAATTTGCAAAAGTCCATCTAAGAAATGGACCTCAAGAAAATGCTTCTAAACAAACACATAATTCTGACTATGGATAATAACAAAGGATTATGCTTTTGAATTTTGAAATTTAAAAATCTAATTAATGCATGCTTTATTTCCCAATTAATCAATGAATTTGACTTTGACTTGAATTTTTTTTTTATATGAAAGTGATGTAACATTTAATATATTGACATTGTTGGATTTGGAGATAGAAAGTGAAGAATTTAACAAATTTACCTTATAATGAAGTGTAGAAAAATAATAATAAAACTTTTTAAAGAAAAAAAACAATGTTTTCAGAATCGGACTGAACGAGGCCATATCCAAACACCGACTGGTTGGGGTATTTGGACCGCCTCAGAGTTGACCCACCGTTGACTCGATTATAGACCTAGTAATTTTATTTTATTTTATTTTCTTGCATTTTTTTAAATAATCATATATTTTAGAATAAAAATTAAGGACCCTTTATTTGCAATTATTCGATTTAACAATAAAAGGGGAAAAAAATTGAATTATTCTTCCTTTTATGTCCCACTCAGTTTTACTATGGAGTCATCGGATGGCTCGGTTTATGGAGTAATTCATACTTATTCACCAATAGTGTATTGACACGTGTTATACAATAAATACAATTTAAACATGTATCAATATATTAATCGATGGATGGCTCCACAAAAAAATATCCGACCCATAGAATTTTTTATGCCCCACTTTTTGACTTCATTGTCTGTTTGTCTCTCACAAGGAGAGAATTTTTTTAAACCGGGAAACACGCTCAAGTTCACAGCTCACCTCCGATTTCTAGGGTTTCCAATTCTTCAAATCGACCCTGAATTTCTTCATCGATCCCTTTTTGCCAGCCTTCTCCAAATCCAATCAATTGCCGATCAATTTCAATTCCAATTTCAGCTTCCATCCCCATTTCTTCAGCTCGCCAGCTCGAATCTTTCATGTTTCTCGAATAAAAAAACTTTCTTGATTTCGTTTGTTGATTTTTTTTTTTTTCGCGCATTTGATGTTCTTCATCCTCATTGCTTATAAATTCATCAATAGCTCGGTGCCGGAGATAGTGGGTCGAGCCCAAATTTTATTTTAGCTCGTTTGACTGCAATCGAGATCGGAAGTCCATCGCCTTCGCGAGTCACGCATGGCGGCGCCTCGGAGCGTGGTGGTGGATGCCGGCAGCCGTCTGTCGGACAGGGATGAGGAGAAGGACGACGAATCCCCGTCGGGGAAGAAGCTGAAGGCGGAGAGGTTCCCGCTCTCTAGGTGGGAGTTTGCGACGGCGTTTGGGGTGTTTTTGGTATTTTCCACCGGGCTGCTGTGCGTTTACCTCACCATGCCCGCTGCCGAGTATGAGATGTTGAAGCTGCCCCGTAACCTCTCAGATCTTCGCTCGCTCAAGTAAAGCAGTCTTGACTCTTTCAGCCATTTTTATTTTGTTTTGAGGTTTTTGGATATTAAGATTGATTATATAGCTAGTGGTTAGTCCTGCAATCAGCTAATTACCAGAATCGCGTTTGGCTTTATTTGTATCTGTAATGGTCGATATTGTATATGTCACCCGATCAGCATTCGGTTCTGTTAGAATATACGATCAGCATTTGCTTCATCTGGGCTTTCTCTGTCTTGGTGCGCTTCACGTGGGACCGCACCCATTTTCCCCTCTGTTTCTTACATGTTCAATGTTGGCATTCTGTCTAGCCTGAATTGGTTAGTTTATTCGGTTATTTTTCTAAGTCTTGAAGTTGAATGTTACATTTTATCTGACGCTGCGTCGGAAAGTTGTATACTTTGTCGTCATATATGGGGATGTAAAGGTTATCTTAAGAAGTTCTTGATGGAGGTCAGTATGCTGGTTAGCTTAATAAGCTAGGCATAGACTAACTAACCCAAGCGTTCAGCTTTATGTTCTGTTTGGGAGCAAAGTACATACATTTCTGATGAACTCTGTGTTGTAAATGTTGCAATTGTCTAATATAGGGATGAATGGTGTTTGCTGAACCTTCCCGATACTTTCTTTGCGATTGCTTTCATAAAAAAAGTATTGTTTTATGGATATTTGGAAGTTCTCTTTACTAATTTGTTTGCACTTTTCAATATGCTCTAGGGATCATCTCGCTACGTATGCCCGAGTGTATCCAGCGAAGTTCATTCTCGGTTACTGCTCGACTTACATATTCATGCAGACATTCATGATACCTGGAACTATTTTCATGTCCTTATTAGCTGGAGCACTTTTTGGTGTTGTGAGAGGTATTTTCTTGGTTGTGTTCAACGCCACAGCCGGGGCATCTTCTTGCTATTTTCTGTCCAAACTCATCGGCAGGCCCATTGTCAATTGGCTGTGGCCTGAAAAGCTCAGATTTTTCCAGGCCGAGGTACCATTTTTTCACCGATTTTTTTTTTTCAATTTCTAGATTTGGAAAAAAATGAGCTGTGTATGTGTATCGTTTGGTTTCAGATTGCAAAGAGGAAAGAGAAATTACTGAACTACATGCTCTTTCTGAGAGTAACTCCCACACTGCCAAATCTGTTCATCAATTTGGCATCGCCTGTTGTGGACATACCATTTCATATTTTCTTTCTGGCAACTGTTACCGGCCTCGTTCCAGCTGCCTATATTACTGTTAGAGTAAGATCTTTTTTTTTTTTATCTGTTTTCATCAAATTGTTTATTTTTATTTAGTTCTGTTTAGTTAGTCAATCTGATTCACGTGCTTTTAACGCGACTTTTGCCATTGATGGTACTCTTTTGTTTCTTGTTAGGCTGGGCTTGCGCTTGGAGAACTTAAGTCGGTGAAAGATTTATATGATTTTAAGACGTTGATGGTACTCTTCCTCATTGGGTCAATTTTATTATTGCCGACCCTTTTGAAGAGGAAGCGAATATATGAATAAAGCTCGTGATGTTAAGATCGATTTTTGTAACGAGGAAGTTTCATACATGGTTTTTTCCTGTTTATCTCACAACACTTATTTAGGCTGTCTAACGGGCCAAAATCTTGAATTTGAACTGATATATATACTGTAATTCATTCACACACAGGGCAGAAATATTGAATCTGTATAATTTTCTGAATATAGTATTTGATGAGAATGCAGACACCTTTTGGAGTTGCATTCAATAGAAGCTACTGTTTTGTTGTATCTTAGCTCTTGTTGGGCAAAATTATGAACGATTTAACTATGTACGGGGTGTTTATTCAACTTTCATCTTCTTTCCCTTAAAAAAAAAATGTACTTGCAATAAATCTATTTTTACTTTGGCTATAGGGGGTGTAAACAAGGCTCGACTCATTTATTAATATTAACGAGTTGAATCAAGCTCATTTATCAATATTAACGAGTTGAATCGAGCCTTATGAGCCAATCTTGAGCTTTAACAAATCAAAGTATAAAAAATTATATAAGATTCCTATTTTCGAGCATTTAACACGTTTTATAGAGTCGAACTAAGCCCGGTTCGTTAACGAGCTTGAGCTGAGCCGAACTCAAGCCCTGACGAGCTGAGTCAAACTGAACTCACAACACGAACGACTTGTTTCGTTTAAAGCGAACTTCTCCTTCTCCCGGCCACCACGAGCTTTATGACTACATATCAAATCGAAGATCTCGACTTTATCTATACATCTGCACCTTCAATTTCGTGATACGATTTGTCACTTCAACATTGGATGGAGAATGGAGCATGAGTTCAAATGTTAGGAAAATACACAACCCTTTGGCCAAATTTGGAGAAAAATTCTTAAATTCCCAAGCTAGAAATGGAGGCCAACAGAGGGTACCAGAGAACCGAACCATACAGAAGAACAACCGATCACCTCAGCACATCTACAAGATTCTAATCATATTCGACCCGATAGAATAGCTCGATTATCACAATTTATAATCACTTCAGGCCAAAGTACACCATTTAAAAACTTGGGCCTTCAGAAAAGACTAATCTTGTTTAGTATAAAAAATATATTAAGAATGACATCCACACAAATGCATACATGTATTAGTAAAGAACTTCATTGACAGGTTAAACAAAGAGTGAGTACTGAGCACAAGATGCCACTTATTTAATGTTGTCTGATATTACATAAGATGGGTCGATCGTAAGCTAAACAACTTAAAGCGAAAAGACATCAATACCCCTTCTTCAAACTCGCATCTTCCCAGGTCCCGAATGCAGCTGGAGAGTTTCGCTTTTGACGACCTGAAGAACACCTGGTTGTTCTACCCGAATAAGAAAGAAAAAATCAATGATACGCGCAAAAGACTATATATGTATATTATTGCACAAACCAATGGAGAAACTTCAAACAAACGTTATGCACGGATTAGATTCTGATAGAGAAGGGGATGACAAAAAGAATATTAACCTTCAATATTTAAAACGCAACAAGTCAACAGTGATAGAAAATGTGAGCTTGGATTACCATTTGTGCTCCAACGAGTCGAGGCTAAAACATGTGAAGATATTTTCCACTCAGACAACCATGATAAACCCAGAATCTTGTAATAAAAGGAGATTGCAACTAAAGCAAACAAAATTGCACTAAAAGCATATCAAAATGCCAACAACTCATAATCCACACAAAACCGTTCGACAGCTTGTAATTTGCAAACGACTCGGCAATTCAGTCGTGCCAGATTCTCGAAACAGAAAAATACTAAAGCACCCGAAAAGAAGAAAAAAGAATAAAATAAAAGAAGCAAAAACTTACTGGAGATCTGAGAAACCTGATCGGGAGTCAGTTTAGCAGAGAACCCACTTGCAGCATGCTTGTAGCTATACAACAAAGCATCCTTTGCAGCATCCTCACTGTTCACCACAGAACAAACACAAACAAATAAGTTACCTGCATTTTTTTTTTAATCAAATGAGCAAAAACTTAAACAACGCCCTCAAAAAGATTCAAGATCCATTTTACCCTACCCTAGTGAGGGTAGAACCCCATGAGAGTTTTAAAACCTTCAGATCAACAAACACCCGGGTGGGTGTGTGTGATTGTGTGTGATCGGACGGCTAAAAGGTAGAGTCGATTCTACTCAATCCTCAGATTGGAACAATCACATCAAAAATCCAAGAAACACGAATAAACCTCACGAGGGTCGATAAAGATTCAAGATCCATTTCACCCTACCCTAGTGAGCACTGCCCCATGAGAGTTTTAAAACCTTCAGATCAACAAACACCCGGGTGGGTGTGTGCGATTGTGTGTGATCGGACGGCTAAAACGTAGAGTCGATTCTACCCCGACTGCCCCATCTCAAATTCATAATTTTCAATCCTCAGATTGGAACAATCACATCAAGAATCCAAGAAACACGCACAAACCTCACGAGGGTCGATAAAGACTGAAACTTTTTCACACCATAACATGACTAAAGTGCAATTTTCGGACAGAAATGATGAATCAAGAGAGAAATACGAGGAAACGAATTGTTCACCTGCCAAGAACAGATGCGAGGGTTTTGATGTGATACGCTTCCGATTCGAGGCCTTCAGGTCTTTCGGTGTAAACTATGTGAACTTGGGCCTCAGATGGAGACGAAGTATCCGCCATTGATGGGATCAAGATCAAGAACAAGACCAGCAGCGATAGTTGGGAGAGCAAAATTGGTTGGGAGAACTTGTTTTCCTTCATTACACCTTTCGCCTGTTGGGGAAATTTATTTAAGGGCTTTTCTTGATTGATTTGTGCCCTTTTCTTTTCTTATGGACTAAGGAGTAAGGACCGTGTGGAGAAATTATTGCTCTTAGCGAAAATTTAATTTCTTTTTCTAATTTAATAGGACAGATCCCGTGTGATGTACGAGATGCACAAAATTAAGGTCATTTATCAAGTCTTATAATTATATAAATGAATAAAGAAATATGTATAGAATATATATATAGTACGTGACTTGTAATAGGCCAAAATGTCAATACGGGTGATGCAAGGGGTGCACGATTTTAAGGTCATTTATTAGTACAATGTCCGTGCGATGCACAAGTGCACAATTTTCTAATATGTGTAATACAAATACATACCGTATGCACGAGACAGAAACACTAAATGAGTTATTTTCACAGAGCTTGCCCGTTAAGTAGCTCCTGAACACGAGTGCACTAAGTAGCTCCTGAACACGAGTGCACAATTTGTAGTACGTATTAAAAAATCACAACACATTTCCATACAATTAATCGGTGAATATAACCAACTTTCAGTACGAATTTAATCTTTTGACCAAAAACAAAGAAGGGATAATAAATTAGATAATAAATAAAACTTTTTTTATTTTAGTAAAGATTTTACGTATTTTTTTTTTACTTATTGGATGTTATGAGATTTTTTTTTTTTTTTGTTAAACCGATTTTATGGGATATAATACAAATACAATTAGAGGATTGAACAAAATCAGAACAGATTCATATACAATTAGATAATAAGAAAGAATTAGATAAAGAAAAGAAAAAAATAGATAAAGAATTTTGAATCTACCTTTTTTTTAGTATAGATAGACTTTACGTACAAATTTTGACTTCACCGATTTTATGAGATTTGTTTTGACAAAATCAAAGACGAACAATAAAGACTGTTTCTATTAATATTTACAATGTGTATTTAATGTTTTTTTTTTTGGCAAAATATTCTTTTTAAGTGTGATATATAAATATTAAAAATACTTAAAATATTTTATAACATCTATAAAAGCATCTAAAATATTCTATATTATTCACAAATAATGTTTGAAGCTACCTAAATTTTTCTAAACTACCCGTAAGGAAAATATGTTTAAAAATTCTTCATTTAACCTCCATATATGAATATATAGAGAGAGAATAAATGTGTAAAAAATTTATACAAATAATATTTAAAAGTATCTAAAATATTAGTAATTAGACAGATGAAATTTAGATTTTTAAAAAATCTATATAGATAATGGACTTATAGTAGTAATTAGACTTTTATTTATTTACTTTTAAAGTTGTTATGATAGATGAGGGATGTGATTTTTTTGACTCGATAGTATTTTATAAGCTGGGTTATGAAATTTTCTTAAACTCGTCCATATCTATGCGATGAGTTTTTAAGCTGGGTATATAGATTTAAAATTGTAAAAAAA